ATTCTCCTACCTCATTCCCTCACTCAGGCCTCTGTTTAAATGTCACCCTCTCAATGGAAACTTCCACACCACCTATTTTAAACTGTCACCTCCTGTCCTCAGTACTCTCTATTCCCCTCTTCTTTAGATTTCTTTCTCTAAAATACTTATCAACATGACATATTATAGGAGGCTTCCTGGGTAGCTCAAACATTAAAGAATCTGCCTGCAATGCCGGAGACCTGAGTTCAATCTCTGGGTCGGGAAGATCCCCTGGAGATGGTAATAGCAACCTACTCCAGTATTCTTGCCTGGAGAATTCCATGGATAGAGGAGCCTGGAGAGCTACTCTCCAGGGGGTCATAGAGTCAGACATGACTGAATGACTAACACTTTCACTTTCTTTCTCTCATGACATATTATGTTTGTTTATTGAAGTAGTCTACTACTAGAATACATCTCTGACAACATGGACTTTGTATATTCTGTTGACTATACCTGCCATGTATTAATAGTAGGTACTTAATAAGTATTTATTGGATGAGTAAATGAATACCTTTTTTCTTCCTAGATGTTTAATAAAATGAGCCAATGATGGTTCAGTGGTAAAAAAAAAAAAAAAAAACTGCCTGCCAATGCAGGACAGTCAGGTTCAAAACCTGATTCAGGAAGATTCTACATGGTGGGGTGCAACTAAGCCCATATGCCACAACAACTGAGCCTGTGCTCTAGAGCCTTGGAGCCACAATTACTGAGCCCATGTACCACAACTACTGAACCCTGCATACCCTAGAGCTCATGCTCTGCAACAAGAAAAGCCACTGCAATGAAAAGCCTGCACACCATAACTAGAGAGTATACCCTGCACTCTACTAGAGAAAAGCTTGCACAGCAACGAAGACCCAGCACAGCCAAAAATAAAATAAAATTACAAAAAGGAAAAAATTATCTCAAAGACATTCTCCAGAAAGCAAATGTAAAGGCAACCTGCTTCTGTCACAGTTTAGACTGATTTAGCAAATCGTCTCTCCTCAAACAGTGCCTTTTAAGAACACTCTCTTAATTTTTCCACAGTTGTGAATAGACAGCCATGTCATTGAGCAACAAACTGAGCAGACTGAGCCAACTCAACCAGAGTGTAGTATTATAATCAAATAAAACTTACAGCAAAGTTAATCAGACACATATTTAATGATATGCATAATTGTTATTGTGCTGCACGGTAACAGGCATAAATGGTAGACACTTCATGTAAATGACTCTAATTACTATTTCTCTTATACAGCCAAACCAAGCATGTCTAGGATCAGATTCAGGGAAAAACAGGAAGAAGGGGAAAGCTGGATCCTTAGCTCTGGAAAGAAAGTCCTCTCTTATTGCATCCCCTTAGGCATTGGGCTAATGGTCGCTCATCCAGAGGTCATGTTAAAACTTTTTCCCCTCCATTGTAAGAGAGGCTTCCTTTTACCAAAGATTAAAATATTAGGCTGAGGACAGCCCTCTCTCTTCAGTCATAAGGCTAAGAGGAACCAGAACAAACACTAAAATACATGACAAGGAAGACAGGACAGGCAAGCTGGTAGAGAAATCAAATGACGGCAAATTCACTGAAGACCTACTATATGCCAGTCACACTAGTACATGTTTCACATAATTCATCTAATGTACTTCCCCTACCCCACCTCAGAGCCACAAGCTCAGTCCCCAGGAAAGCAGAGGAATAAGCAGAGAGCGACATTTTTTGTGAGGGCTCCCTACTCCAAATTTTCCTATAAGGCCTAAATAATGTCACCAGAAAGGATAATTTAGGTAAGCTAACATTACTAGGAAGATTAAGAGGAAGCTGTTATTTAGTGGCTGTTACCCTTGCTTCCTACCTTATCTAACCCACAGGATAAAGGACCCCCTACTTTCCTATGGGTTTGTCCAAACCTATCCAGCTGAGGCTAAGCCCACCCTTCTCTGGCAATATCATCCCTATTCACTGCAGCTCTCCTTTTTCTTGGTGCACTTACTGTCAGGGTACACAATATTCACTTTGTGCCATCTTATAATTAATTTCTTAGGTTAACACTTATCTCCCCAATGACACTACAAGCTCCTTAGTGGCAGAAACCTTGTCTTAAACTTCTTTAGTAACCCACACAAGGTCGAGCATCATTTTTTAAAAAGGTGTTTCTATTAAGTATTTGGATGAATTAAAGTAGGTAGGCAATAGGTAGTATAAAAAAAAACTTATGGTCCTAGGTAAACAAGCTGGTGTTGAAACGAAATTTGCAGTATTCTAACTTGTCTTCATCATACTTTTGGATTTTTTCTTTGGGGAGGCGGACAGCCTGTGTCATGTGACAAGCAGGATCCCTGACCAGGGATTAAGCCCGTGCCCCCTGCTGCAGAACCACAGAGTCTTTTAACCACTGGATCACCAAGGAACTAATTTTTAAAACAAATTTCCTTAAGAAAAAGTATGACTGTCATTTGGGATACCGCAGACATCTTTGGATGGAGGTCTGAGACATTTGGATCAGAGCCCCAAGACATACAGTGTCAAGAGTATAAGAGCTTCCAATTATATTGGAAAATACACTTAAATCTATAATGTTTCAAAGAGTCCTCAAGACCCAGAGTGTCAATCCAACTGAGCAGCAATACACAGGATCACTGGCCCAATGGATTCGAGAACTTGAAAGACTTTCTGAACAGATAACAATGCAAGTCTCAGTCTACTTTGCCTACCTGATGGTGTCAGCTTCTCAACATGTTCAATGAGAATAACCTGATTCTGTATAAGTCTGCATTAGGTTTGAGAAAACTGAGAAGGTGGTGTTGTGAGTTGCCCCACCACACCCCATAAGGAAGAACAAGCTCAAAAGCAAGTATCATAAAGCTGAAAGATATCTGACAAAAATGAATACCAAAACTTCCTGTTTAAGCACAAACTATCAGTGGTCTATCTAGGAAATGTCAGTAAAATCTACTCTATACTTTTTACCTTTTAACTATGACTGGAAGAAGGTCATCTATTCGTAGAGCTCAATGGGGATTCAGTTTCTCAAACTCGTTTATTTCTGAACCTCAGTGCTGAGTGGGGTGTTGACTCAGTAACTAATACCAGTTGGGTAAGCATGTTTAGTGAGATAGACAAAACAGTCTCTCCCTTCTCTGGTCACCAAATGTCCAGCCTTAGAATTCTTTCAGCCACTAAAACACTCTACTAAAAATCAAACTAAAGAGTTATATGAAAGTAAAACTGCATCTAAAATCCTAGTCCTACAGTGCTCTTCAATTAAAGGAAGTTGACCAGATTTAGGTCTTCAACTTTCAGTGTATTTAAAAGACTACAGTGTTATTCATAAAAACCCTTAAAAATCACAACAAAATATCTGACCTAGTAATTCCACTACTGGGAACAATAACAGCAGCTCAAAGTTCTTAAGCACTTACTATGTGCTAGGCACTGTACTGAACACTTTACTTAAAATATCTTATTTAACTTCATAAAAACCAAATAAGGTCATTTCTATTGGTTGACAGATGCATGAATAGGAACTAGCATAGGGTCACAGAGTAGTAAGTGACAGAGGCAGGACTCAATCTCAGACTGACTGGACTGTGGAGTCCATCTTTTTCTCACTAGCAGCCAAACTAAAAATATTTCCTTAAAAAATAACCCCAAAATATAACAACAATTTTTGGCATAAAAAGCTCAGTGTCATGTATGTATAACATGGCAACATGAAGCATTCTAAATATATGACAAGTAAATGAAGGCACTCTGGATTACAGAATATTATATTAAATATTTTAATATAATATTAAAAATATTTTTACACCTAACTTTTAGTGACATGGGAAAACTTTAATGCTATAAGTAGAAAAAACAGAATTTTACATACGGTCAGATCTCAACTATGTAAAAATTATATCTGTACATAGAAAGATCTAAATTTACTGCTAAATAAAAAAAAAAAACAAACTACAGAATTATATGTGGCATGGTCCCATTTATGTAAATAGTGCCTGACTCATTTCAAATACTCAATAAATGTATGCCATTATTATTATTTGTACTAAAAATGAACTGGTACTACTTTATAATTAGAAAAATCAACAAATTTATTTAAATTATAAGTTTAGGTACTTCCTTATTTAACTAATGAGAAATGTATAACATCAGAAAAGTTAAGTAACATGTGTCTTTCTTTCCCATACCTCACAATTATACAATTTCAGATTAAACATCTCTAAGTGATGGGAACCAAGTAGAACTGAGAAAAATATTGCAACATTTCTAATCTTCTGATGAATGGTTACATTCAACATGTTAGACCACAAAGAGGTATGCAGATTCTATTATATTTAGACCACAGAGAGCTGTGCAGATTCTATCATATTTAGAGTTTAGAAAGGCAAGATCAGGGGTGGTATTTCAAGGACTGTGATGAACAAGCAGATTCTCTTGGCCAATATCTCATGCTGTACCAAAACCAAAGCCTCTGGTGCACTCTCTGAGAGACAATCAAAAGCTCCAGGGTGATGCATCAGAGACATATAGGAGAGGAATAGGAACTAGGGATATTTTTCAGCTGTAACTGTCTTTAGGTAAAATTTACACACACACAACCCCCTGACAAGAGACTTATTCTGAATGAAAAACAGGCAACTCTAGAACTTATTTCCTCAAGTTTCATAGGAGTTTCAGTATTTGTATACATGTGAAATGCAAGGTCCATGGGATCACATTGATCTTTGGCCTGCCTAAAGTAAAATGGCCTGCCTAAAGCAAAGAATAAATTTGAAACATTAAAAGAAGAAAGATTTTTTCCATCCCCTTGTTCTGAGGTATGTGCAACAAAATAGCATGCCAGCCAATGTAGTAAAGAATGTCAAAAGCACTAGAAACTCAGCTAAATAGAAAAAATCAACAACTTAAATACTGAAGATTTAAGTGCAAATACTGTTGCACTGTACTGTACATGACTACAAAACCACCACATAGTCAAAGAAAAGAGTGGCTTTACCTGTATCTTGCCCCATCAGCCCATTGCAATACATGGCATGTCGCTCAATCTTTGTGGGTGGGAAGCCTTGGTCACAGAGTGGGCAGGATACCTGGGCACTAGATGAGAAGATAGAAGTAGATATTTCCTTCTCAGCATCTTTCTTGTTATCAACTTGAAGAACCTAAAGAACATGACAAATAGCAGTTGTATTAGCTTTACAAAGTATCTTTGCCCAAAAAGAACTGCAAGAGGCTCCATCCTGTATTTTACTTACTTTCAATGACACCAATCATTTTGCCAAATTCTGGACAGTAGACTGGGAGATACACTAACATAGTTAATACTCATTCAGTGTCTGCCTACTGTGTGCTAAGCATTCTGCATGTAATAATGTTAATTTAAAACTCATGGTAATCTTGCAAAGATTACTACATTCTTTTTACACTTGAGGAAAGTATTGTCTAAAACAGTAAAGCAACTTGCCCAAAGTTACAGAACAAATAAGTGGCAGAGATGAAATTCAAACCAGGGATTACTGGGCTCCAAAATCTGACAGCATTCCTCTCTACCCCACTGCAAGGCACTGTCCTTGTTAAGTCAGTATGCTGTTTCAATTTGTATTAGCAACAGCATCTTAAAGACAGTTATTCAATCTCACAAAAGAATTATGAAGGCAGTCAAAAGGCATAAACTCCTAACTGTAAGATAAATAAGTATTTAGGGTGTAATTTACAATGTTACATTTACAATGTTTACAACATTTACAATGTTAACAATATAATTAACACTGCTGTATGTTATATATTAGAAAATTGTTACGTAAATCCTAAGAGTTCTCATCACAAGGAAAAAAATTTTCTATTTCCTTAATTTTATATCTATATGAGATTACAGGTGTTCACTAAACTTACTGTGATAATCATTTAACTATGCATGTAAGTTAAATTATACTGTACTCCTTAAACGGCGCTATGCTGCTCCTGCTAAGTCGCTTCAGTCATGTCCAACTCTGTGCGACCCCATAGACAGCAGCCCACCAGGCTCCTCCGTCCCTGGGATTCTCCAGGCAAGAATACTGGAGTGGGTTGCCATTTCCTTCTCTAATGCCATTTCCTTCTCTAATGCCATTTCCTTCTCTAATGCATGCAGGCATGCTAAGTCGCTTCAGTCGTGTCTGACTCTGTGCAACCCTATGGACAGCAGCCCACCAGGCTCCTCTGTCCACAGGATCCTCTAGGCAAGAATATTGGAGTGGGTTGCCATTTCCTTCTCCAAAACGGCACTATATATTCTCTCAATGAAACTGAAAGAAAAAGAAAGAATTAATTCCACAAACACACAAAAAGAACTGTGATCATTATAAGTAACTTCGGACATCAGGAGTGAGGGGAAAAAAAGAGCTCAAGCAACACAACTAAAATTTAAGAATCTAGGCCTCAGCTTATACCAGTAAGACAAACCACCTCTTATGTTTCATTTGTTTCTTTTGAGTTGAAAGAGGAAACATAACTAAGACCCAAACATTTAAGAAGGCCTGAAGGCAATCATTAAAACAATTCTGACAAAGCCATTCTTACTCCCTTTTCAGTGTTTTGTAGTCATCATTTTTCCTACAGTTCCCAGTATCTCTCAGAGGCAGTTTTATTTTACCTTTACAGGTCAGAGCCAAGAACTCTGCAGTGATTAATTCAACAGTATGCGTGAGCACTGCAGCACTACTGCCTAACACTTGCTTCAAAGGACAGCATGTCCTATCCAATCAATGTGAAACTATCCCTCATAGCCACTGCTTCCATTTAAAAGCAAGGAGCAACTAGGCCATCATTATGCTTTACTATAGGAAACAAAATAAACCCTTTTCTGATACAAGAACAAAATGAGACCAAAACTGCAGTGGATAGATAATTTAAGCTCTGAGAAAACTGGGTTTTGTTTTTGTTTTTTTTCTTTTTAGTCTCTAAGTTTAGGCCATCCCTGAAATTTACCACCTGTGAATGTAACCCAGCAGAGAGGGAAACAGGCCATCTAAATAAATACCAAGTAAAACAATTTCTACAACTGTCAGAAAATGTTATTTTCAACACATACCTGCTTTTTACTTAGAAAGGGGAAGAAAAAAAGATGGGGGGTGGGGTGGGGAGAAGAAAGATAAGAAAGGAACCAAGAGTGGTTGAGTTTCTGTACTACACCAGGCTTGGCCAAGCATTTTCCATATCCATACCTCACAACAACCTAATTGTCAGAGGTATCACTCGCTCCAGTATTATATAAGAGGAAATTAAGGCTTGAAAAGGCAAAGTAATCTGCTGATCACAAAACGACTAAGTGGACAATGCAGACTCAAACCCATGGTGGCATCCAAACTCAGTATTTCACCATAGTGTGACAAAAACAAAAAGCACTCCCCACCCACTTTGTTTCTGGAGGCTGACTCTGCCAGGTATTGGGAGACACTCTGGTTCTAAAATTATTCTTCTCTAGCATGTGGGGTAAGTCAAGTGGGTCTAAAAGTTCTAGGTGCTTTTTATTTCAATCTTAGTCACTGAGATTCTCACAAACACAGGTTCCTTTGTATAAGGAAAAGTTGTCCTGTAAGTGCAAAACCATTTGAGCAGAAGGAAGAAAAAGCAATATACCCTATAATTTGCAAATAGTCTTGAAAGTTAGTGGCAGCTGAGCAGTTACTCGGCATTCTAAAGTTCACTAAGCATAGAAACTGGAGAAGGAAATGGCAACCCACTCCAGTATTCTTGCCTGGAGAATTCCATGGATAGAGGAACTTGGTGTGCTGTAGCCCATGGAGTCACAAGATGTCGGACACGACTAAACGACTAACACACACGCGCATAGAAAAGTTATATGACATGAATGCTACTTGTATTCACATCCAGTACTATTCTTCTTTTTATTCCATCATCAGCTCTATAAAATGCAGAGAAGGTACCTTCAACTATTATTATAGTATTCAAGAGGGAGAAGCTGATCTATTATTGTTTTATTGTGAATACAAGACCACTTCCAATCACATTCATAGGCAATCCAGAAGGTTTCTAAACATTTTTATGTTTACCTAAGTTTTTTTCCCAGCACCATTAAAAATGTTTATTTAAATATTAGCTACAACGGAGGAGCCTCAAGAGGAAAAAAAATATAAGCCAAGAAGCTTTTGTGAGGACTATGCAATCAGGGACTGGGTCTCTGTAGAGCTGTTTCTACTTCTTTTAAAATACTATATGTGTATTTTCTCAAAACAGGTATTTGTATACCAAATCATGATCTCTTAAAGGCTGGCCTGAAAAGAAACTTCATCTCAAGAAACAGATCCAATGAAAATGAGAATATGTCCTACAGTCACCAACTCCCTTATCCATTCCCCATAAGATTTATGCATAGTTTAGGAGAGTGTTTATCTCCCCTTTTATCTTAGACACAGTCTATTTAATACAGTTTACTTAACCAACTGACTAAACTGACCACATCTGTGCAGGTACACTAATATACAAATATTTTCAACAGTAAATACTACAGTTCTAAATGACTGCGGTTGGCTGTGTTAGGAAGAAACCACAGACACCAAGGGCCCACTATAAGTTATACACAGGTTTTCAACTGCACGAAAAGTCAGCACCCCAACCCCCTTGTTGTTCAAGGATCAACTGTATCTGATTCTGAATAAAGCCTGAATAAAGTCTGAATAAAGTTAACAGACTTCTGAGTACAAATATCTGAGACCCCCACTAAAACAAGATATTCCAAAAATATTATTTCCAAAAGAACCTTACCACTGTAGGAAATCAAATCAAGAGGGACTACAGTTCTGGCAAGGGTATTCCAAATACTTCAAATACTGCCAACAATTCTGTGTCATTAGTAAGCTAATATCACTGAGCAGCCACAATGTATTATAAAGCAGTTCCACATGCATACTTCTACCTGTGCCAAATCCCTGCTATGTTTCATATTCTTTATCTAATTTCATCATCAGAGCAACCCAATTAAATAGGCTACTTCTGTCTACATTTTATAAATGAAGAACTGAAATTCAGAAAAGCATTCCTCTCCATTAGGGCATTCCTCTAATGTCCTCCCCTAATGTCTCAGGCATTTTTCTAACATTACATTTGTCAAACCATATTATAATTATCTGTTTATGTGTCCCTTTGAGGGCAGGAGTTGTTTTTTTATTTACCTATATCTCACGACTCCAAAACAGTGACTGGCACACAGTACACAAACTATAATATCTGCCAAATAAATGAACAAAGGAATTAATTTGACCAAGGTGATAGGGTTGGAATTCAAAGTCACGTCTTCTAGTTCCAATATTCAAGTTCCTTGCACAATAAACAAGAAAATTTGGGGTAAATGACCCTATACACAGATTCCAAGGGCAAGAGTCCACACCCTTTGTAATACTATCATTGTACACATAAAATGCCCAGCTTCTATCTTTCTAGTAAGTTATTTGTAACTAGTGATTGTGCAATAACTTAAAAACTACAGCATCTCTAACTTCTTTTAATGTTAACTTCTAAGACTATTTAGAGCATCCACAGATATTAGCAAATAGCAACACCAAAAAGAGGACATTACATGTGATAAAGACCATACAATTCCATCTATTTGATGTGTAGTGCTGCAGACATACATAACTTTTAAATAGGGTTCTTGCTCTTTGTCCCAAAGACTTGTTTCCTCCACAGTCATGGATGCGTTAAGAAATCAGCCTTGATTAGCTAAAGGCTTGCAGAACTTCTTCTGCACGTTAGGATAACTGTGTTTTAACAACACTCTGTTCCCCCATCCTATTAAGAAGGTTATAGTTTCTCCCTAGGAAAAGAACCTGAGGCCATTTTGACACTTTGTAGCAGGATCTGTCTTCAGCAGCTCTTAAACAGGGAGCTCCTCACCAAAAGGTGTTAGGAAACTCACACCACAGGCATGAGGGAATCTCTGTCTGTCAGTTGTGATAGATCAGGTTCCAGGGAACCAAACAGCGTACACAAGTCATGAAAGCAGGATTTCCACTCAGTTACCTGCAGTACAGAAACTAGGAAGGGGATCTATTAATGACTTCTAAGGCAAAAATTGTTTTCAAAAAAATGTAGAGTATAAAAAGGAATAAGGGAATGAAGCTCAGAATAAGAGAACTGCTCAGAATAAAACGGTATGCACGTGTGTAACCAAAAAATTTATTTTCACAAAAAATAGTTTAAGTTTCAGGGTACTTTTTACAACAGATTTTAAAGGTCTGAATTCCTTAAAAGAGTTATCGATATTTAAATTGTTTTGTCAGACTCAACATGAAAAAATATGCACTGAATCTTAATCAGGTGTATGAACTTGTGTCAATCAGCCTTATGGTTAATGTCAGATGTGTGAACTTAGGAAAGGTACTAGTACAAATACAGATCTGGACTTATTTTATCATGCTGCTATCCAGATTTTGCATTTCTGATCACATCTCAAAATTAGGGCTGAAAGTTATGTCATAATATAAAGGTAGCAACTTTCTCCAAGACTGTTCATCTCTGTTACTTATATAATGGAAAATGCTCCAGGACTTTGGAGACAAATCTATGTTCAAATTCTGGTACTATCATTATTAGCAGTTTGAATTTCAGCAAATTACTATGAAATGGAGTATTTCCTGTCACATCAATAAACAAGAATGCCACAGCCATCAGGGATTCTGGCCCTCCAAATGTGAATTTCGGAGTCCAGGAAGAACAATGCCTTCTATCAGGAGCCATCAACCACTCCCCATGGTGAGAACTGGCCCCAGACAGCTGAGATGCATATGAAAGGAATGATTTCAGTAAGCCCAGACTCTTGCATCTTCCCATAAATAGAAAAGCATTAAATTCCTTAACTTGAGTTATTTGGTTTTCCTTCATTAACAATAATCTTTTGACATTTAGACTACCTGCTCCTTTTTAAGAGCTTCTATATAACCTGACTCCTCCCCCCTAAAAACTCCCCCCAAATAAAACATAAGTCTCAACTTCCAGGTTGTGACTATTTTTTGTAGGTCGACATTACTCAAACATCCTAAATCTCCATTTCCCCATCTGTACTAGACATAATAAAGCATATTAAAATACTGAAGAAATGGAACTACTGTTATATTTAGAAATAGTACTGAACTCACTTTTAAGAATCTAAGATAAAAACCTAACCCACTGTCACTTAAATCTCTTCATCCAAGGTCAATACTGCATCAGAGAGAGGATGACCAGTAGAAAGAAAACACTGAGAAAAATTAAAGGTAATATTCACCTCCTTATCTGCCATTATTCTTACTTCATCCAGGGTCTCTCTGCCATCTGGAAAGCCTTCTTTTTCAAGGTCAAAAGTTTCAGGAGAACTTAGTTGTGTCTCTGCAATTTAAAAAATCAAAACTTCATTAATTTTCATTTTGTATTTTCATAGTTAAAAGAAAACACTTATTTCCTTAAGCTTAGAGTATGATAATACTGCAGTAGCAATATAAATCAAGCTTGTTTCTTCTTAAAACTTTACTGAGTTCAGCGGTTAAAGAATCCAGATGATAAAGCAGCAGACATGGGTTGGATCCCTGGTCTGGGAAGATTCCACACACCACGGAACAACTATCCGTGTGCCACAATTGTAGAGCCTGTGCTCTAGAGCCCGGGAGCGGCAACTACTGAACCCACATGCCACAGCTGCTGAAGCCCTGCACTCTGTTGATCCCGTGCTCCACAAGAGCAGCCAGAGCAATGAGAAACCTACACATCACAACTAGAGAGTAGCCCCCACTCACCATAGTAGAGAAAAAGCCCACACAGCAACGAAGACCCAGCACAGTCAAAACTAAATAAATTTTTTTTTAATTTTTAATGCTGATCTCCATTTTTAAAAAAAGAACTTTACTGAAGCATAATTTATATACAACAGAATTCACCAATTTTCAGTGTACAGTAAGTTTTGACAAATGCATACAATGTATACACGGCATCTTTATATCACATAATTACAATCATTTATATTTGACAAATGCATACAATGTATACATGGTATCATTTATATCACATGACCACAATCAAGATATAAAATATTTCAAGCACCCTCAAAAGTTCTTATGTACCCCTCTGCAGTCAATCCTCCTCTCACTTGACTCCTTGCAATGATCAATCTACTTCATGTTCCTACAGTTTTGCCTTTTCTATAAAGTCATATAAATGAAATAACACAGCGTGTCATGTTCTGTGTCTGATTTCTTTCTTCTAGCATGTGTTTGAGAAGCATTCATGTTGTTACATATATCAGTAGTTCATTCCTTTTTACTGCTTAATAGTATTCCACTGTATGGATATATCACAATTTGTTTATCCATTCATCTATTAATCCATTTGGCTTCTTTTCCAGCAGAGTTCTGGCTTTAAAGTACATTTACACAGTTAAAACAAAACATTGCCAATGCTAATTCTGAGGCTAAAAGGATGATTAGAGAAGATATAAAAATTGGGAGCAGAAATACAAATACATTCTCAAAGATACACCTTTCTTTAATTATTCTTTAAGCAGCATCTATTAATTCAACATTAATGCAACACATGTTTATGAAAGAAATTCCAGGCACTGTATAGGCCACTAGCAATAACAAGTACTGGGTTGGCCAAAAGGTTTTGTTTTTTTTTTTTTCCGTACAATGGCTCTACTAGCACTTGGTTATCTTTAACTTCATTTCAAACAATTTTATTAGATTGTATTGTGACAGCTGTTGTTCAGCATACATTTTTTTAAAAACCTATCAAAACTGGTGAGTTCTGTGTAGCCATTTTAGTATTGTAGATGGAAGAAAAAAAACATTATCGGCATATCATGCTTTATTATTTCAAGAAAGGTAAAAATGCACTGAAACAAAAAAAGATTTGTGCAGTATATGGTGAAGGTGCTGTGACTGATCGAATGTGTCAAAAGCGGTTTGCAAAATTTTGTGCAGAAGATTTCTCACTGGACAATGCTCCACAGTCATGTCAACCAGTTAAAGTTGACAGCAATCAAATCAAGACATTAACTGAGAATAATCAGCATTAACCACACAGGAGGAAGCCAACACACTCAAAATATCCAAATCAAGTGTTGAAAAAAATCTACACCAGTTTGGTTATGTTAATAGCTTTGATGTTTGGGTGCCACATAAATTAAGCAGAAAAAACGTTCTTGACCATACTTCCACGTGCAATTCTCTACTTAAATGTAATGAAAACATGATGCTTTTTAAAGCAAGTTGTGACCGGCAGTGAAAAGTACATACTGTACAATGATGTGGAATGGAAGAGATCATGAGGCAAGTGAGAAGAACCATCACCAACCACACCAAAGGCTGATCATCCAATGAAGGTGATGCTGTATATATAATGGGATTGGAAGGGAGCCCTCTATTACAAGGTCCTTCTGGAAAGCTAAGTGATTAATTCCAACAAGTACTACTCCCAATTAGACCAACTGAAAGCAGCACTCAATGAAAAAGGTCCAGAATTAGTCAAAAGAAAATACATAATCTTCCATCAAGATAATGCATGATGCATGTTTCTCTGATGACCAGGCAAAAACTGCTATATCCTGGCTAGGAAGTTCATTCTGCTGTATTCGCCAAAAGTTGTATCTTCAGATGTATGTTTATTTTGGTCTCTACAAAATTCTCTTAATGGAAAAAACTTCCTTTCCCTGGGAGACTGTAAAAGGCACCTGGAACAGTTCTTTGCTTAAAAAAAATAAAAAGGTTTGGGAAAATGGAATTACGAAGTTGCCTGGAAAATGGCAGAAGGCAGTGGAACAAAACAATGAATACACTGTTCTATAAAGTTCTTGGTGAAAATAAAAAATGTGTCTTTTATTTTTACTTTAAAAACTGAAGGAACTTTTTGGCCAACCCAGTAAGATGGGGACCCCTCATGCTCTGGTTCAGGGGTCTGCAACTAGTTCATAGGTCAAGTAGAGCCAGTTGCCTGTTTTTGAAAATAAAGTTTTAATGGGACACAGCCACATTCATTCTTCTTTATACTGTCTATGATTGCTTTCAAGTTAAAATAGCAGAGTAATTTCAAGTACTTTGTATGGCCCACAAAGCCTAAAATACTTATTATCTAGTCTTTTTATATTCGGTTAGTACAAAAGTAATTTTGGTTTTGTACTGTTGAAATTTGCTGTTTGATATTAGAATACATTCTTAAATAAATGCAGTTATGTTATACATCATTTTAATGTGCATTTCTCATTTTGTTTTTTTGCTAATGACTTATTCCTTGCTGTTTATTTTATATTTATTTTAGACTAGGGAAATGATGTTAGACAAAAAGCAAATTTGAGCAATTTTCTTATTCAAGTTCAAAATGGGTTGTAAAGCAGCAGAGACAACTTGCAACATCAGCAACACATTTGGCCCAGGAACTGCTAATGAACGTAGAGGGCAGTGGCTGTTCAAGAAGCTTCGCAAAGAATACAAGAGAAGACAAGCACAGTGGCCAGCCAACAGAAGTTGACAATGACCAACTGAGAGCAATCACTGAAGCTGATCCTCTTACAACTCCACAAGAAGTTGCTAAAGAAAATGTCGACCATTCTATGATCATTTGCCATCTGAAGCAAATTGGAAAGGTGAAAAAATTCAGAAAGTGAGTGCCCCTTGAGCTGACCACAAGTCAAAATAATCGTCATTTTGAAGTGTCTTCTTCTCTTATTCTATGCAACAAAAATGAACCATTTTCTAGATCAGCTTGTGACATGTGATGACCAGAAGTGGATTTTATATGACAACTGGAGACAACCAGCTCAGAGGCTGGATGGAGAAGATCCAAAGCACTTCCCTAATCCAAACCTGCACCAATAAAGGTCATGATCACTGTTTGGCGGTCTGCTGCCTGATTCACTACAACTTTCTGAATCCCAGCCAAACCATTACATCTGAGAAGTATGCTCAGCAAATCAATGAGATGCACCAAAATCAGCAATGCCCACAGCCAGCACTGGTCAAAAGAAAGGGCCTAATTCTTCTGTACAACGCCCAATTGCATATCACACAACCAATGCTTCAAAAGTTGACCAAATTGGGGTACAAAGTTTTGCCTCATCTATATTCACCTGATTTTTTTTCACCAACGACTACCACTTCTTCAACCATTTTGATCGATACTTTTTTGCAGAGAAAGTGCTTCCACAACCAGCAGGAGGCAGAAAATGCTTTCTAAGAGTTCACTGAATTCCAAAACACAGATTTTTATGCTACAGGAATAAACAAACTTGTTTCTAGTTGGCAAAATATGTTGACTGTAACAGTTCCTATTTTGATTAATAATAAAGATGTGTTTGAGCCTAGTGATAATGATTTAAAATTCAGTCTGAAACTGAATTATATTTGTACCAACTTAATAGAAAAAGTCTGTCAACCTATGGTCTAGACATCTATCACTTGATATAAGAACAGAAACAATATTTCAAAAGATGACAATGAGTCCAGAAAGGAAATTTATTTGAGAACACAATCCAGTAAGTTTTCTGTTATCTACACTATACACACTACACATCTAACCAGTATTTCTGTGCTTCACAAATACAATGAGCAGCCAATGCTGGGCAAATAGTATACTTAAAAGGTATTGAGGTAGCTTCTCAATCATCAAATGATTATATACATTTCTAGTGTTAACCATACTTTAATACATCATAATTTTTTTGAAACTGGATACACACACAGATTTCACCACCTTGTTGGAAAAAGACTTAGAGTGTATAAACTTCAAAATCTTCTCTATCAAGCTTTCCTGAGAGATATTTTCAAAAATGACATTTAATCTGTTAGAAAAGAAAAGAGTTACTCACTGCTTGTACTACTGTAACAATAAAAGTCTTTCATTAAGCTTTCTGTAAATGGCTGAAACATTTAACTATGTATTCAATGATAGTGACTAATTAAGAGGACATTAGCTTCATAGAAATAAATAATGTTAGCATCATGCACAATGTGGGCATGATGTTGTAATCCTGCTTCTTCACTAAGATGATGTTATAATTTGAGTATCAGACCCAGGGAACCATAAGCAATATGAGACAAAACAAAATAGGTAAGATGGACTACTATACTAATCTGTGTTTCACTCATTTAGGACAAATTTTTAGACATAGCTTCTAAATTATGTATTTTATTTTTATTGAAGTATAGTTGATTTACCAGTTGTGTTAATTTCTGTTGTACAGCAAAGTGATTCAGTTATACATACACATACATGTCTTTTTACTTCTTTTCCATTATGGTTTATCACAGGAAATGAAATATAGTTCTATGTGCTATACAGAAGAACCTTATTTTTTATACATTCTGTATATAACAGTTTGCATTTGTTAACCTAAGCCTCCTACTCATCCCTCCCCCACTCCCTCTTGGCAACCAAAAGTTTGTTCTCTAGGTCTGTGAGTCTGTTTCTATTTCATAGGTAGGTTTATTTGTGTCATATTTCAGATCCACATATAAGTGGTACTATACAGTATTTATCTTTCTTTCTAACTCAGACATCACTTAGTATGATAATCTCTACTTTCATCCATGTTGCTGCAAATAGCATTATGTCATTCTTTTTTACGGCTGAGTAATATTCCATTGTGTGTGTGTGCATATGTGTGTGTGCATGTGTACACACACATACACCACATCTTCTTTCTCTATTCATCTGTTGATAGACATTTAGGGTGCTTCATGTCTTGGCTATTGTAAACAGCGCTGTTATGAACAGTGCTGCATTTTTTTAAATTACATCAATAGTTTTGTCTGGCTATATGCCCAGGAATGGGACTGCTGAATCATATGGTAATTCTTAGTTTTTTGAGAAAACTCCATAGTGTTTTCCATTATGGTTGTACTAACTTACATTCCCAGTGTAGCAGGGTTCCCTCTTCTCCGAACCCTCTCTGGCATTTTGTTATTTGTAGACTTTTTAATGATGGCCATTCTGACCAGTGTGAAGTCAATGGTACCTCACTGAAGTTTTGATTTGCATTCCTCTAGTAATTAGCAATGTTGAGCATGTTTTCATGTTGGCCATCTGAATCTCTTCTTTGGAGAAATGTCTATTTAGGTCCCCTGCCCATTTTTTGATTAGGTTGTTTGTTTTTTGTTGTTGAGGTATATGAACTGTTTGTCTATTTTGGAAATTAAATCCTGTCGGTTGTATCATTTGCAAATATTTTCTCCCACTCATTTGGTTATCTTTTGCTTTGTTTATGGTTTCCTTTACTATGTAAGAGCTTGTAAGTCTTATTAGGTCCCATTTGTTTATTTTTGTTTTTGTTTCTATTGCCTTGGGGGGCTGACCTAAGAAAGCATTGATACAATTTATATCAGAGAATACTTTGCCTGTGATCTCTTCTAGGAGTTTTATGGTGTCTTATGTTTAAGTCTTTAAGTCACTAAATTATAGAGACTCAGGAGTCTAGCTCCATGAAGAAGTAGTTATACTTTCTTAGCAAAAGAACAATAATGTTAGGGAAACCTTTTACCTAACTCATTTAGAAGTGGCTTATATCAACAAACAGTTGGAGTTAATTAGAAAGTTAATGACAGCAAATCATGATCACAAAAGTTATACAACCACAGTGATGAAGGGCTTGCTTTTTCCTCATTAACTTTCCTCTCATTAGGGATTTCAATATTATTGTATTTGCAGGTTCCTCCTGCAAGATCCCAGGGTGATGTCACATGCCATCATCCTTAACTTACTGCTTCCCTCTGGATGACATAAGTCAAGAGGCCTAGATAGAGAGGGAGCATTTTCATTTTTTCACAAAAATAACACCGTATTCCTGAGAGCTTCTGCCAAAATCATGGCACTTGGCAGTGACATCATTAGACAATAATTCACATAAACTTCAAATAATAAAGAAACCACTTTCAACAAAAATGACACAGTTAAACTTTAAAAATAAGTAAAGAAAGACTTTTACAATATGCTGCCAAATGTTTAAACTTTGGCAGGACTTTCCTAGACTAATGTGTAAATTAAGTATGAGTCTCTATGGGAAAAAACTTGAAAGAAACCAAAATAAGAAAACTACGAGTCTCTCTGACTCCAACAGGTTATATGCAACCTTAGATGTGACTTAAAGTAACATTTGTCCAATTCTCACTGTCCAAAGAGTTTAAACATTAAGAGGAAGTTACTCACACGAATGAGGCTACTGATAACTTATATATTAGCCCTCACTTTTAAGAAAAGCCAAATATACATACATATATATATATATAAGCTAAAACAAATTCCTTAAAGTAGTGATTCATATCACAAAATAATTCTTCATATGATACAATGATTCAACTCAAGAGTTCACTTAGATAATGGATATCTTAGTTCATTTTAAATTATTTTGTATATCAAAACCTTTTCAGATGCAACTTTCAATTACCATCTTCTCAAACCTTAAACAAAGTACATGGGTATTTTCATCATTATTATTAACAAAAGCAAAGTACAATACTTAACCAGGTTAAGTATCTATTTGGAGATTAAAAATAAGTCAATGACAGAACTGTGCACAAAATTCAATTTCTGAACTCCCTATGCAATAGACTCCATGAATGGCAATGTAAAACTAACCAGTAAAAGCCTCGGGGGAAAAAACTGCTCAATGACAGGCAAATTTGAGGACAACCCACTTTGAGAACCCATAAACCAAACCATAAAGTCCTCTTGGCTCTGAATGTAGAGTTAAATGCTCCAAAGGCTTTGCTGCCATCTCTGATGACACCAGTAAGTAAACAAGCAAACAAAAGAGCCATATTAATTTCAAACTATCTTTAAGAAGAGAAAAGGTGAGATGCAGAACCAATGTCCATCAAAAAAACTGTTATGTATATATATGTGTTGTATGAACACATACACACATCAATCACACATAAACCTCCTAAGAGTGGGTTGGAAAAGTCAGAAAAATTAATAGACACAAAAAGGTAGGGACCAGAAACTAGTAAAAATACAGTGGGGTACTTACCAGGACACACGGTGATTTCCTCTGCAGAACTCTTTGGCATAAAGGCTGAGCTTCTCTTACTGGTCAAAGCAGCAACGCTGAAAAAAGAATCAAACCCTATGTGAATTCCCAGTAAAATAAATCAGAACACAGGACCAAAAGCAATGGTTAGTCTTTCACAAAGCCACAGGTAATCTGATACCTGCTGTCCAATACCACAAAAGCACAACAGGGAAGCAAGGAATCAGCAGTGAAAACTCCAAGTCAAAAATAGGGAAAATAAATATGCTTACAACTTTGGTTTCAGGGAAATCACTGAATGAAAAGAATCCCCTTTTGGAGTCTTCACAAAGGAAGGTTGAAGGGTAAGGACTCTCCATGGAACCACAGAAGACCAAAAAAAAAAGTCTACTCCAATATAAGGATGTCAAAATTGTTTTACAGTCTCCATCTCAGCCTTCTGAAAGCTAGGGTTTTGTAAACTCATGAGAAGATATGAAGATTCTTCTGACACAATAGCTTTTCCCTCACCTTGCAGTTTAATTTCCTATTTATCTCAAGATGTGGCTCTACAAGCAACAAAAATAAGATACAATTCCAAACTGCCTACAGCAAAAATCTGTCCAACCAAGTTAAGTATCTCTTCTGAGGAAAACATAATTATGAAAGGCTACCCTCATCCAATCTTTTGGTTTACCCTGACTGCTCACGGAGCGCAATCTTTTCCTGACATAGGAGCACACGGCTGAGAGATCTGAGCATCTGAGCTAGCCCCCTCATGCTTCACAGAGCTTTACAATTAGTTTAATAAAGTATGAAAGAGAATGCTTAAAAACATAAATCATCACATCAACGAAGAACCACAGAGAGGAGAGAATAACGACCACTGATTCATGATAAATAACTAAATGCTGATAAGAAACCACAAGTGATTTCTCCCTCTAAATAAAACATCTCAGAGCATTTGTTACAAACCTAAGCAAGATACAGTTTATTCTGCATGTAATATTAGAGCTCTATTCAAAGGGTCCATCACAAAACAATTTGCTGACATTTATTAAATGGGTTAATCAATTTGAAGTCAAACCACATTGCCTACAATTCCAACTCTCTCCTGGTGACAAAGCGTATAATCATTTATTAAAACCTACATCTGCTCTGCAGAAGGCTCACCACAACAAAGCAGAAAGGACTGCAGGAAGCAGAAGGCTACTCCGGTTAAAACCACTTACAAAACTGTCTTAACAGCAGGAAAATCAAACCAAAGTCACATTCTTCAGCTCAAAAAGAAAACACCCAGTACTATCAACTTAACCAAAAGCCTAAGAACATCAACTTAAGTAACAGCAAATGACAATTGGGCCTCAACTTCTGTTTGGGAGATGACAGTCAGTTAACACAAAATTAAGCTCTTGAATAATCCCCAAAGGTCAACTAATGATAAAAGAGAAAAGTAATTGGATGTCTGATCTAATTAACACAGTTTATAACCAATCAACCTTACAGTTCAGTTCAGTTCAGTCACTCAGTCGTGTCGGACTCTTTGTGACCCCATGAACCACAGCACACCAGGCCTCCCTGTCCATCACCAACTCTCGCAGTCTACCCAAACCCATGTCCATCATGTCGGTGATGCCATCCAACCATCTCATTCTCTGTCGTCCCTTCTCCTCCTGCCCTCAATCTTTCCCAGTATCAGGGTCTTTTCCAATGAGTCAGCTCTCCACATCAGGTGGCCAAAGTATTGGAGTTTCAGCTTCAACATCAGTCCCTCCAATGAACACCCAGGACTGATCTCCTTTAGGATGGACTGGTTGGATCTCCTTACAGTCCAAGGGACTCTCAGGAGTCTTCTCTAACACCACAGTTCAAAAGTGTCAATTCTTCGGTGCTCAGCTTTCTTTACAGTCCAACTCTCACATCCATACATGACTACTGGAAAAACCACAGCCTTGACCAGATGGACCTTTGTCGGCAAAGTAATGCCTCTGCTTTTTAATATGCTGTCTAGGTTGGTCATAATTTTCCTTCCAAGGAGCAAGCGTCTTTTAATTTCATAGCTCCAATCACCATCCGCAGTGATTCTGAAGCCCAGAAAAATAAAGTCAGCCACTGTTTCCCCATCTATTTGCTATGAAGTGATGAGACCGGATGCCAAGATCTTCGTTTTCTGAACGCTGACCTTTAAGCCAACTTTTTCACCCTCCTCTTTCCCTTTCATCAAGAGGCTCTTTAGTTCTTCTTCACTTTCTGCCATAAGGGTGGTGTTATCTACATATCTGAGGTTATTGATATTTCTGCCAGCAATTCTGATTCCAGCGTGTGCTTCATCCAGCCCAGAGTTTCTCATGATGTACTCTCCATAGAAATTAAATAAGCAGGGTGACAATATACAGCCTTGATGTACTCCTTTTCCTATTTGGAACCAGTCTATCGTTCCATGTCCAGTTCTAACTGTTGCTTCCTGACCTGCATACAGGTTTCTCAAGAGGCAGGTCAGGTGGTCTGGTATCCCCATCTCTTTCAGAACTTTCCACAGTTTATTGTGATTCACACAGTCAAAGGTTTTGGCATAGTCAGTAAAGCAGAAATAGATGTTTTTCTGGAACTCTCTCGCTTTTTCGATGATCCATCGGATGTTGGCAATTTGATCTCTGGTTCCTCTGCCTTTTCCAAAACCAGCTTGAACATCTGGAAGTTCACGGTTCACGTATTGCTGAAGCCTGGCTAGGAGAATTTTGAGCATTACTTTGCTAGCATGTGAGATGAGTGCAATTATGCGGTAGTTTGAGCACTGCCCTTCTTTGGGATTGGAATGAAAACTGACCTTTTCCCGTCCTGTGGCCACTGCTGAGTTTTCCAAATTTGCTGGCATACTGAGTGCAGAACTTTCACAGCATCATCTTTTAGGATTTGAAATAGCTCAACTGGAATTCCATCACCTCCACCAGCTTTGTTCGTAGTGATGCTTCCTAAGGCCCACCTGACTTCACATTCCAGGATGTCTAGCTCTAGGTGAGTGTGAATGATCACACCTTCGTGATTATCTGGGTCGTGAAGATCTTTTTAGTACAGTTATTTTGCGTATTCTTGCCACCTCTTCTTAATATCTTCTGTTTCTGTTAGGTCCATACCATTTCTCTCCTTTATTGAGCCCATCTTTGCATGAAATCAACCTTTACATATTATTAAAGTAGGAAGATTTAAGAAGGTAACCCCAATCAATCCATCCATCAAGAATAACTGAGAAGGTAATACAAATACAGCCATTTAAGGAAAGATGAGATAAAATCATACTAAAAGTGACACTGGATATGGAGTGAGGGTGATACAGATTCTGTGTGGCCTGAATAATATAAACGCTTCAAAGAGGATGTAAATCTTAAGACTTTTAAAAAGATGTATATGGTTTGGATATGTGGATAAAATAAGCATAAGCATAAGGAACAAAGGGAGAAAGGACAAGGACCGTAAAGAAATCATTCTAGAGCCTTGTTATTGGCATAGGAAGCGAGTGTCGTTAAGACAGTAGCAGGATGTGACCACTTTTCAGGAACAGTGTAGATGGAATCTGTGCCAAGACAGTTGTGTTAGACAAGTAAACTTTTAAGATCTCTTCCACCCTACTTCACTAGGCTTCTATGAGATGCCTATTTGAGAACTGGAAGATAACAATTTCTCTTTGGCTGTGTGTATAAAAGAGCTAAAAGGTCCCTGGGAAAGCTGTTCCTATACAGTCTCATTCATGTGGCGATCTTTTATTCTGGTGCTATCAGAGGAGAATTCAGACCCACGATAATATTTAATCTTACCTCTGTGAGACAGGTACAGAATTTCCTTCTTCAGAAGTTTCTTCAACAAAGAGTCCTTGGGAAGACTGTAAAGAAAGATGTAACATCCTAAATATATAGGCACAGATGAACTGGTTTTTCTTCCTTTAAAAAAAAATAATAATTGTTCAACATTAACACTCAGCATATAGTAATAAGAATAAAACATTTTACAAAAGTCAGTGAGTTTAAGTAAAAAGAACATATTCTATGGAATCAGAACACTGGAATTTAAATCACAGGTGAATCACCTATTAACTTTTAATCCTTGATAAGTAACATCTCAATCTGTTTCCTCATCTTAAAATAGTATTAAAACCTACTTCACAGTGTTATTGTGAGAATTAAACAAGATAATATATACAATGCACTGTGTAAAACACAAAGCATTAAATATTAGTGAGTCAAATGAATTATGATTTCAGAAAAGCAATTATGAAGCTTTTGTTGTGGAAGGAAGAAATACAGAGAAAAGTTCAGCTCTCAATGGAAAGAAGTATCTCTTGGTAGAACCAAGACATAACATAGGCTATCCAAAAGAAAAAGTTATAAAGATTCTTTTCACTATGAACCTGCCACTATGGTTAATATTTAGCTACAAAAGATATCTTTTAAGAAACACAACAAATAGGGACCAGATAAGGAAAAAATTATTTTCTTTGACTATTAATAGAGTTGGTGCAAATGTTAACTCATTAAATGTAGGTGCGTGGAAAAGTGTGGGAAAAGCAGCTACTGCTGACTTAGGGGTACTTCTAAGGAAGTACCTGCGCTGTGAGGCTTCTTCCAACAGATATAAAGCTGAAGTTTTCAGGGTCTCCTAACAGAATATAAATAACCTAAACAAGTTAGGCACCTCTCTATCTCTCAAGTAAATGATGAAATATACTAACAAATAAGAAGAGCCTAAATGAGTCCTCAGTCAAAGAGAAGATAAAGCTGTACAATGACTGGGAATGTAGTCATCATGAAAAAGGAGGGTTGAACAAAACTGTCAAAAGGACTAAAATACAACAGTAATAAATACTTTATTTGCTTGAACTCAGTGGTGACAAAAGTTTTGTTCCTGTTATCTAAAAAACCACCAAAAGATAAATACTGACACCTGGTGTCCATTTAATAGAATTTTACTTTATCGGAATGACTAGCCAATCAAGACTTATTAGGCTTCAGAAACAAATAAGGCACTAACCAACAAGTTATGAGATACTGCCATCTCTACCTTAGGCTAAAGCACATCTTGATCTTTTCCAGTGTAGTTTTTTTTTAGTTATCGTTACACCTATTATGTGTCAGGCCTATGCTAATCACTTCACGTGTTATCTCCTTTAATCCTCACAAGAACCTTCTGAAGTAGAAGCTATTAAATTATTTTAAAAATGAGGAACGTGAAATTTCAACAGGTTAAATCATCTTCCCAAAATAATGGAGTTGTTCAAAGTGAAGCTTGGACCTTTCTGACTCCAAATGATCTTCTTCCTAACCATGTCAATACAGAATCCCAAACTGTCTTTATTTCAATAAATCATTTTTAATTTCTAAACTTACACCTCAAAGGCAGTGATCTAAACAGAGGCAAAGTAAGGTTCTTCCAGAATATGAAAATAAGAGAGCAAAACAAGCAAACAAAATTTGATTAGACTATTCACAGCTAATCAAAATGAACAGAGAAGCATGACAGGAATGAAACTTTCACTAAGGAAGCTGTGGCCTAATCAAGACATTGTACTCCGCATGAACAAATATGCTAATGGAAATGGATAGTTTGCAACAAATAAAAAAGAAAAATCCAAAGACCCAGAATCAAGCAGTGGCTTCAAAACCGTAATCTGCAAGTGAAAGCACATCATCTGATCACCACAGAAATGCTCTCTGCTGTCAGGCACTAGTAGCTTATTAGGTCTTTCCACAACCTAGTTGAACCACTCCTTAAAATTTCCATTTTCTGATTATTATTTCAGCCTTTCAGATCCTTCATCCTTGAAAAAGATGTGATGGTCAATGAAAATGTCTGTCTTCCACAATAAAGTAACAGAGATTTGGTATACATACCAGCTTGATATTTGGTTAGTCAAAGTCAGTTCTCATATTCTCACACAACCTGGGAAAGAAATCCCAGTACCTGGACTAAAAATTAAAGATCAGACCCTGAAAAGTAATGACCACATCAATATACTACCCTTCTTCTCCCTGCTGTAAAGCCATTTAGATGACCCCTCCATCTTCATTAAAATCTTCTCTATAATTGCAGTGATGCCAGAAACCAGTTATCTGATTCAAATTGCTTGTCTATACAAAGTTTTTGCAACCTTCGTATAGACTAAGTAATTTGCCTCAAGGTGAATGTTTCTCTGAGTCCTTATTTCTGGGACTCTTGCTATCTCTATTAACCAAGGAGTCTCAAATATGGCCAGTTCCAGCAAAGTCATGCTGTTGTTCAGTCACTAGTCGTGTCCCAACTCTTTGCAACCCCATGGACTGCAGTACACTAGGCTTCCCTGTCCTTCACTATTTCCCAGAGTTTGTTCAAACTCATGTCCATTGAGTCAGTGATACAAAGCCATAGAAAATGTTTAACAAGCACATAAACTCTTTCTACCCAGTTCCTGAAAGCAAAAGACCAAGATGTGAAATTACAAATGCAAGATTTTCATCATTTGCCGACAGAATTAGGATATTAATTTCTCTTTGTTTCTTAAAGATACTATTCTACATTGGCAAGAATGCAGTGAACTAGGCATTTTCATACACTGCTGGAAGGAAACAGTACCAATTTGAACAACCTTTCTTAAAAGCAATTTAGCAGTAAACAGTAGGTCTTCTTTTCTATATTCATAACTGTTTAACCCAGTATCTTTCTGGTTCCCTATCGCTAAAGACACAAATTAGTGTAATTAAATAAATAAAAGTTTTACTTAGATGTTAATCACAACTGAAATATCCCTCCATAGGAAAATAATTTAAATATTATAGTAAACTCATAAACAGCCATTAAAAATGAGATCTATAAGTAATTTTAACATCAGAAAATGTTTGTATGTTAAGTTAAAATACAAAAATATAGTAGCATGATCTAAACTATAGGAAAAAAAAGGTATAGAAAAAAAGATGAAGGAATACATCACTGGATGGTAAGACTGTGGATACTTTCAACCTTGTTCTTTACACTTTTTGGCATTTTTCAAGTTCTAAATGATTTCTAAAATTAATGTTAATGACTAAACTGAGTATTTACTAGGTTGTCTACCTGATCTCCTTTTACTGAGGACTGTTCCTCACCCCCTTGAACGTTAGTATAGCAGTGGGCTCATAGCCATTTGTACAATTTGGATCATGGCCCCTTTGGGCCACAGACAACTGGGCTGGGGAGGATTACTAACTCCACATGGGCTGTAAGTCATTTTGTAGAAGTCTGCAGTTGAAATTGGGAGAGAATAAATCTCCTGTAACCTGTATTTACCTTTGGGAACTGGAGGATCAATGTCTTCCACCTACCATGTATAGCAGAGAAGCAAAGGAAGCCAGTTTGCAGGGAGAAAAATGAAGCAGATATAACTATGAGCCAGGGATGAATTTTCTAAACCTAGTACCTTATCTAGGCTTGGTTTACCATTCTGTTTGAGAATTTATGAGAATCTATCTTTTTTATGATCAAGTCCTCTTTTTAATTAAGCTAGCTTGATTTGGTTCTTGAAGCCAAATAGTACCAAATAATAACTATGTGTAGTATTTGGTGGCCTCTTCATGAAGTTAGAGAACTTCAACTTAAAAGCCAGCTACTAGGTTCTAATCACTTCCAGTCTATTCTAAAGACACTAGTTTAAAACCTCAGAACCTGACACAAGTCTATGCTCTAAAAACTCCAGCCCCTGGGATCTTTCAAGCTAACAACTTGAATTACAGTAAATCATTAAATATTCACTCTGTGGACTTAGTTTATTCTTTTAAGAAGAAGCATCTCTGAATCACAATGAATAAACAAAACGTTATCATAAGCATAACTTAACTTTCCTTTGAAAGAGAGGCAAATCACTGGAAGAACTGTTAGGAAAAATGCTTTATCTTTCTACACAGCTATCTTTCTAGAACATGGATGAAGAAGGCTGCTAGGGAATAAAAATTCCCATATATATTTTCAATCAATAACCTCTAGTCCCTTAAAGAAAACAACCATTCACTGAGTGGCTACTATCTCCTAAGCATTATACTAGACATTTTACATAATTCATTTTATTCATTAAAACTACTGAAAGATATGAATATCTACTTTCATTTTACAGATGTTTTTAAATTGAGATTCAGAAGTTAAATGGCTTTCTCAACGGCAGTTACTAAAACACTAAAATAAAAATTCAAACTCCAAATCCATGCTCTCTACACAATGCAATGAAATTTCTCACAGCTACCATTTCTTGAACCCTTAAAAGAGATAAAAGAAAAAAACAGCATAACTGTAAAACAAAACCAAAAACTCAGAGTACAATAACAGAAACAGCAACACAAAGCAGTACAGTAATAAAATATTCTATATCCTTGAAAATTAGTTTATAAAGAATTTGTAATTATATGATTGTTAATACTCAGAGAAAAAAACAGAATATAAGTTTAACCTACCATATATACAAATATATATAATATAATCTAGGTATCTCAGAAAAAGACTTAAAAGGCAAATGTGCCCAAATAGGGAATCGTTTTCAGTAAATTATTGAAAATCTCAAGCAAAAATCAGAAACGCAGGATTACATGAGGTAAAAAAGTCAACTGGAAAACCACCTGCACTTCCTATCACAGAGGACTACTTCCCCTAATACATAATGGATGCCTATAAACCACTAAGAAAAAGACTGATATAAAAGAAAAATGCCGATAAGATGTAAACAGACAAAAAAGGAAATACAAATGGGTCTCAAGCACACATAAGAAAAGTGAAAATTAAGACTGCACTGTGATACTACTGTGTTTCATCCTCAGACTGGCAAAGATCAAGAAGTCCTGACCAAAAAAAAAAAGAAGTCCTGACAATACGGTACTGGTATGGGTATGGGGAAAGCTGCTACTCATACAACCTCTACAGAAGGCAATTTAGGAACAGCTATCAAAATTGTAAATACATATATACTTTATCTACCAACTACATCAACAAGTTACCCTACAAAATTTCCCATGTAGATGAAACACCTTATGCACAAAAGTAATAATCCTCTTCCAATTTAAAAAAAAATTAATAATCACTGCAGCAGTGTTTGTAATAGTAATATTTTGGAAACAACCTAAATGTCCACCAATAGGAACACTAGATACAATAAACTCATCCATACATAGTGTATTACACATTCTCCCTCCAAAAGAAAAAGAAGATATTCTTTATGTACTGTTATGGAATGATCCCATAGAGACAGTAAATGAAAGGTACAGAATAATGAAGAGTACACTATCAGCTGTGTAAAAGGTGAGGAAAAGTATCCATACACATTGTTTTGCACCACATGAAATCCTCAGAAGGATACACTAGAAAACAGTAAAAAATGTTGACTCCAGGAAGGGGAACTGGTTGGCTGGGGATGGGGATAGAAGACAAACTTTATTTATATCTTTTTTGAATTTTAAGTCAGTTGAACATTACTACCTATTCAAAAACTTAACTTTTTAGAAATACATATTTTAAAACAAAATAAACTGATACATACATCTGATACAATAATGTTTTCAAGAATGCCTAAGGAATAGGAAAAGATCTAAGATAAGCTATTAAGTAGGAGAAAGGAACAAAGTTTATATAGAAAAGTCTTCATTTTGTTGAAAAATTTAAAAGGAAAAATAACTTTATATGCATAAAAATAATGATGATTGCCTCTTGGTGCTGGTATTATGGTCAATTTTTTCTTCTTTACACTCTTCTGTACTTTCCTAATTTTTCATAGTGAGCATATATGTGTTACTTTAAAAGTCAAGAGGAGAGGGCGACACAAAAAACAGCTAAAATAATCCTTGTTTAATCTGTGAATAAATCATCCTTAATCACAGCATCACTGACCCTTACCTGACCATGACTGGTTGTTGGTTCTTCCTCCAACAAAAGTTTCTCTTTCAAGCTTTTAATTGGACTTTCTTGGAAATCCTTGGTTTTTGAGTGCCAGACAGATGCCCTAGACTCCTGCCTCTCCTCTTTGTCTTCATCTCCCACATCTTCTGAGATGCCTTCATTTTTTTCACTAGCCTGATCTCCTTGGCCACATTCATTCTGGATCAGAGAAGGAGGTCTAGGTAACACTGGTTCCCCAAAACCTTTTTTTTTTAAGAGCTGCCTCTGAGTCATTTTCAGGCTCTTTTGATAAACCTCCAACTGGCAGAGAATGACCTTGGTATACTGGTTAGGGTCTACTCCATCAGGGCAGAATGGAATACCCCAGAAGTAGTGTACAGTGCCCCCAGTGTCCTGGAGACCTTTGGCATCTGCTGGGGTACGCAGACAGTGCCTAGATGTGTCCCCCCTACCCTGGGCAGCTTTGTGAAAAGCACAACCCCTCCCAGTACTTTCCTGTGGCTTCCCACACTGTGTGTGCTCAGCCAAGTGGCCAGTACATCTGTCAAAACATTTAAAGTTCTCATTCTCAAACACTGGCTGGCTTGATTGGTCCCAGCTTCCTGAGCTGCCAGAGACCGGCTCCTCTTCAGTGTTTTCAGTGTGGTCCCAAGGCTCCTCTCTTTCCTCAGACTCGTTTCCCTGACTGATATGTGAGCCTTTAAACAGTGATGGAGGTACCAGCTGCCATATGCCTGTAGGTATTTGAGAAAAAGTAGGGCTAAGGACAAACCATTTTTTATTAAGAGGGTTTGGTAAGTTATCACTTATCAAGAATTACATAATGTGGGTAAAAAAGGCTCTTCTTTGGGTTTAACCAAAAGTTGGCTTCTCCTGGGAGATAAAAGTATGCTGCATATTAGTGAGATCTCAACTACTATCTGATTTAACCTCTTTAATACCACCAAAGGGATTCTGGACATTTCTGTATATCTACTCTCAGCATAATATCCCTCTGATATGGTTATGCTTGATGAGAAGAAGGAGCCAGAACAGGGAGACATGCCTTCAGTGGTCCCAGAGTCTGTGGTTTTCTGTTGGTGGGACTGTGAAGATGGTCCAGTGGCCAGAGGTCGAGATCTGGTAGCAGAAGCATCAGAAGGCCGGCAACTCTGAAACAAGTGATCCCACACCAGACCAGGTTTATTATTAAGATAGCGATACATGAAGGATCATAGGAAGTACAAAAAGAGGAGTCCACTGTCCCTAAGAGATTCTCCTCTCCAAAACGTAGATGCTCAATTCAAATAAATTCCACAATGTGTACTGCATGCCTACTATGTACGAAGCATTGTATTACATCGCTATACTAGACCTTTTTCTAATGTAGAAAGGTGAATGGCATAAAGGATGGCTCAGGATCTGCCACTGACAAACAGCTTTCACATTTAAAATAACTTCAATTACACATATTCAAATCACAATTTAATATTATGTTTAAAATTTTAATACTGCTCATTCTGTTTCTTCATAACCCACCTCCAGTTCTCATTCCCTTTGTTCTCCCCACAATACAGGGGAAGTAAGCACCTTATTTGCTCTCTTTTGGTTTCTTGGTACTCAGTAACTCTTTTCAGAAGCTGCCAAATACTATGGTTCTCTTAAGACATGGACTGAAAATTTGTGAGGTAGAAAACTCTTCCATATAGAATTAACAAAACACTAAATTGAGTTCACAGTTCGACACAAGATTTTAAAAATGATAATGGGAAATATCTATTAATTGAAAACCGTATGAACTACTTACTACAGCTAGTTCCTAATTAGCCATGACACTGCAGAAATAAAATGTTACTGATCAATCCTCACAAACTTTTTCAACATAGCATATTTACATTCAGGCTCTCCGCAATGGCTTTCCTCAAGAGCTCCTCTTCTTCCGCCTCCTGGCTGTTCACCTCCCTAGCTTCCTGTTCACTCATTTTGAGAGCCAGAGCAAACTGTTCTTCTTCTGTCATTTCTGTAAGAAGATAGGGAAAAGAGAGAGAGTGACACCATAGACATTAAATAAGTGTGTAGACAAGAAACAGAATTATTAAACTTTTTAAGCGAAGACACTAAAGACCACTTAGTACAATTTTGTGAATAAGGAAAGCTCCAAAAGGTAAGGTACCACTAAAGATCAGTAGCAGTAGCTATAAGAGTCCAGGATTAACCAAACTGTGAGCTCCTATGAAGGCAGAGTTTCTGCCTACTTTCTTCACTGTTGTATCTTCAGCACAAGAGAAGAGTACCTGGCTCCTGACAGGTAATATCTGGTGAATAAATAAGAGGACCTAACTCCCAATCCAGATTTTTTCAATACCTATCACTTCATACTGATACATATTTGCTTTATGCTTAACATCGAGTCAGAGTAATTTTACTTTTCAGAATTTTCTGATTTATCCATTAGAAAAGAACATCTCTAAAGAACCGAGTGTCATCCCCAAACACCATTTCCCATTAAAAGCAACTGGGGTACCCTGGAGAGGAACAGTTGACTGCAAGTCTGGAGAACGAAACATATTAATAGAAGACAAATTAGAATATCTGTCAAAGCTATGAGCAAAGAATCTACCAGATACTACTAGGGTCGTATCAAAAGAACTTAAGACTCAACTTAAAAAGGTTCTCAATGGCCAAAAATGAGACCACTGAACATCAACAAGGATAATGAATACAATGAATTAAAACATACTAAATAAGTTTAACTGGAGAAGGGAATGGCAACCCACTCCAGTATTCTTCCCTGGAGAATTCCATGGATAGATGAGCCTGGCAGGCTACAGTCTATGGGGTCACAAAGAGTTGGACACAACTGAGTGACTAACACACAAATAAGTTTAAATCTATAAACTCATAATAGTACCTAAAAAAAAAAAACTAATTGGTCACTGTTGAAGAATGTTAACAATATATTATTCAATCAATAATGAATCAATTACTTTGAAAACGAGAAAAAAAAAAGGATAGAGAATCAAGCTTTTGTCCTATTTTTCTAGTATAAGCTATACTACCAGATAACCAGATAGATGAAAAGAAGCTTCTCTTTAAAGAGTTATAAGATGGTGTGGAGAAAAGGGAACCCTCTTGCACTGTTGGTGGGAATGTAAATTGATAGAGCCACTATGGAGAACCGTATGGAGATTCCCTAACAAAATAGGAATAAAACTACCATACGACCCAGCAATCCCACAACTGGGCATATACCCTTAGAAAAATCATTCTAGAAGGTACATGTACCCCAGTGTTCATTGCAGCACTACTGACAATAGCCAGGACATGGAAGCAACCTAGATGTCCATCAACAGATGAATGGATAAAGTTGTGGTATACATATGTGTGTGTGGTGTGTATATATATATATACAATGGGCTTCCCTTGTGACTCAGCTGGTAAAGAATCTGCCTGCAATGCGGGAGACATGGGTTTGATCCCTGGATTGGGAAGATCCCCTGGAGAAGGAAACAGTTAACCACTCATTTTCTCGCCTGGAAAATTCCAAGGACTGTATAGTCCATGGGGTCACAAAGAGTTGGACACAACTGAGTGATTTTCACTTTCACCTACATATAATTGAGTATTATTCAGCCATAAAAAGGAACAAATTTGAGTCAGTTGTAGTGAGGTGGATGAACCTAGAGCCTGTTATGCAGAATGAAGTATGCCAGAAAAATAAAAACAAATATTGTATATTAACACATATATATGGAATTTAGAAAAATGGTACTGATTAACCTATTTGCAGAGCAGCAGTAGAGATGCAGACATAGAGAAAAGACTTGTTAGACACAGTGAGGAAAGGAGAGGGGAGAACGAATTGAGAGAGTAGCACTGAAACATATATATTACCATATGTAAAGCAGATAACCACTAGTAATATGCTGTATGATGCAAGGAGCTCAACCCAGTGCTCTGTGACAAACCTAGAGAGGTGGAATGGTGAGGGAGGGGAGGGAAGGAGATGGGAGAGAGGTTCCAAAGGGAGGGGACATATGCATACCTGTGGCTAATTCATGCTGATGTATGGCAAAACCAACACAACACTGTAAAGCAATTATCCTCCAATTAAAAATAAATAAATTTAAAAAACAATACTTCAAAAGAGAATTATTCTAGCTAATAAATATAAAAAAGAATATTGCCATTTTGTATAATGCTTATGGACAAGATTCTGGCAGTGACTAACTACACATATGACCCAGCAATCCCAATTCGAGCAATGTACTCTAATGATATATTTTCAATTTTTTAAAAAAATAAATATGCACAAGACAGCATATTTAAAAAACAAAGACATCACTTTGCTGACAAAGGTCTATATAGTCAAAGCTATGGTTTTTCTAGTAGTGACAGGGTTACAGGCAGGAAGGCCAGGGGTCTCCAAACAGAGGAAATAGGCTGCAAGTCTTAGACATTTTTTCTCTTTTAAGCAGCAGGAGAAAACAAACCACAAGTGTCAGATTTTTTTTCCCTTCTCTATACAAATTTAAAAGGTTTCCCTAAAATTCTGTGTTGCCATGACAACACCTAGTTCCACCTGAACTTAACTTTTTTCAAACCTTGAGCTAACCAATGCGTTCTTCTTATGGAAACAGTTTTCTTAAGCTATGTTAAAGAACTATCTATTTACACTAGAGTCTGTCTCCAAGTCTGTTCTTAAGACTTAGATAAGGGCTCAACAAACCTATAGGTTTTACTCATATACTATTCTCCTTATCTATGTTAATGAAACTATATATTTATTTGGAAACCTGCCTTTCTTCAAGATTCATGTCAATCGTTTTATGGCCCAGGATGACTCACCTGGTGCCAATGTTATATCAAAACGCATGGTGTGGGTGAGGGGCCTGGTGCCACTCTGAGACATCTCCTTTCTCTAATTAACAGCCCGCTGATAGGTATGTAACATACTGCTAAAGGCTAGCAGGGGGGCACTCTTTCTGCCCCCTTCTGATGTCTATGTCAGAAGCTTTGTCCATCTCTTTCATACTTCAATAAAACTTTATCATGCAGAAGTTCTGAGCAATCAAGCTTCATCACTCGCCCCGGATTGAATCCCTCTCCTCTGCAGGTAAAGAATCCCGGTCTTTCACAGCTCAGCAACAACCTCGCACCTTGGGGTCTCATCTGGAACCTGAAACTGGGACCTCTCATGCCAGAGGGAAGAAATGTAACCTGCAGACCAACCAGCCTGCTTCAGCAGTCATGTACAGATGTGAGAGTTGGAGCACTGAAGAACTGACACTTTTGAATTTTGGTGCTGGAGAAGACTCTTGAGAGTCCCTTGAACTGCAAAGAGGCCAAACCAGTCAATCCTAAAGGAAATCAACCCTGAATATTCATGGAAGGATTGATGCTAAAGCTGAAACTCCAATACTTTGGCCACCTGATGCAAAGAGCTGACTTACTGGAAAAGACTTTGATGCTGGGAAAGATTGAAGGCAAACGCAGAAGAGGGTGACAGAGGATGAGACAGTTGGATAGCATCACCAGTTCAATGGACATGAATTTGAGCAAACTCCAGGAGACAGTGGAGGACAGAGGAGCCTGGCATGCTATAGGCTATAGGATTGCAAATAGTTGGACACAACTTAGTGAATGAACAATGACAACAAAACCAAATATGTACTACATTTTTCACTGCAGCGTTGTTTGAATTTGCAGAACATTGTAATCCATGTAATGACCATCATAGGACACTGCTTGAATAGATTTCGGTATTCATACATAAAACTGTAAAGAAGAACAAGGAAGGTATCTATGCTCTAGGAACAGAATTATTTTAAAGATAACACTATTAAGTTAAAAAAAAAGAAGCAAAACACAAAAGATTATATAATATGCTAATTTATGTAAAGAGTGACACAAGAAAGATGAATTAGAAGCTAATCCAAATGGTTACATACAGGTAGCTGGGTACAAATTGGAAGGGATAAGGGAGCGAGTGACATTTCTTTGACTATGATATACCTTTGACTATGATATACCTTTTGGTATATCTTTGACTTAATCAGGTAAATGTTAAACCTGTTTTTAAAAAAGTAAAATAAAATCAGTAAGGATGAGGGATCCCTAAGATTAAATCCCAACATAAAAAAATGCACCCAAATAAATGTAAAGTGATCTTAATGAGAATGAAAACATCAGAATTAACCAGTGAATGAACGTCAGATGGCCTTAGATTTTCTTTCTAGAGAGGTTTTTAACTATGAATTCAAATTCTTTAACAGATATAAGGTTATTCAGATGTTCTCTTTCTTCTATATCAGTTTTCACCAATTATGTTTTTCAGTGATGTTTTTAATTTGTTTCAATTAAGTCAGTGTTTCTCAGTCCTTTTTTCATTATTCTTCTCTGAAGAATCCTTTCTAGACTTTTTTTCAAAGTCAAAATCTGTGGAAGTACCTAATGTAATGTTTACAGGGATATGAACAGCTTTACATGATCATATAAGAAGAAAAATTTAAAATCAGAGATCCAAGCTTTCCTCTTTAATAAGCTAAATAATGAAGAGCAAACTTAACCCAAAGTAAGAAGAAAGTAATATAAAGAGCAGATATCAATGAAACAGAAGATGGTGTACAACACAGAAAATAAAATTTAATACCAAAACCTGGTTCCATGAAAAGGTCAATAAAATTTATAAATCTCTGATTAGACTGATCAAGAAGAAAAAGAAAACATGTAAGTTAACAATACAGGAATAAGAAGGAATCACTACAGATTCTACAGTCATAAAAAGAATAACAGAATACCATGGACAACTTTATGCCAACAAATTTGACAAACAAACATGCATTCTCAACTGGCATGATATCATCCCCAAGTGGACAAAAATTGGTTCTCGGAAGTCCAAGAAATCTTGCTCTCTTTATATATAAAACACAGGTGTACAAGTCGGTACATAAATAGGATATACAGCATTATCTATGGCATTAAAATTTCATGGGGAGAGTGGTGGCTAGGAAAAAAAAA